TGATTTCCAGATATACACTTGAATAATTTTGTCAAAATTTCAACTAACATTTCATTAGCAATATCATCTCCTGCAGCTGATTTTTTGTATTTTATATTCAAGTTTGCTTCCTTTTGTATTTTTTATTATTTTTATTATATATATTCTGTAAATAAGTTTTCCAGATGTTATTACTTATAACCTGATGTAATTGTAATTAGAACAGCGAAGCTGTTGTAGTATTGACCAATACTCATAAGTTGTGCCATCAATTTTCTCTGACTGATTTATCACCATTTTTTAAAAACGTCTTTTCATGGTTCTAATCAATGTTGTAACAATGTTTTTGTACAAATTGTTTGGCGCTTTTCAGCATTGCAGGATTCATCATATCTTGGCCTTTTAAGTTATTTTTTTATTACTGTTTTTCCACAGTGCATGGGTGATTTCCTTGTACACTGACATTTTACTCGCACATTATCCAATGCTAAAGCTAAGGTAAACTAATATGAAACATGTATTTTATGGATAATCGTCGCCACCGTGTTTCAGGCTTAAAATCACCGGGGACAGTGGTGATTCTCTGACATAACCTCACTAAGGCGCCCTCGGTATCAATAATCGAAATCACAGTCACATATACGAACATGAAAATCTTAACACACAACTCTGTAAATGCACCTCGCCACTTTAAGAAGACGCGCTCACCGCTACGCCACGTCGCATTGCCTACAAAGATAGATGTGTAGTGAATGCGCTTTTACAATTACCTGTTGGACATGCGCAGTTCGAATCTGCGACGTCACAAATACAGCCTAGTATAACCAATCATTGCCTACCCGCTTTTCAAAAGATAGTGACATATAGTAGATAATATTTGGTAATCTTTGTATTAAATATATATTAAAAAAATAGACGTTTCGAGCATGGGCTCTTTATGGGATCATATCTATGTATGATCTTTTTATTGAAATAATCGATACTCATTTACATATTGTCTTACGCGATCATTACTACGCACGTGTGTTATGTAAGCGATCAGAAAGTGAACACTCCAGGACTATGCTAATGTAAGAATCATTGCTAAACTGAGTGGTCTAGAATAAAACTGTCTCTTATTTAATTGAATAGAACGTGTCACCTGTTGAATTATTGCCAGACCATCTTTGGACAGTAAAGTTGTTTCTCGGAGGTTCTGTCATAATTATTTGGTGATTTAATTAGAATTACATGCCGAGTGCGCACCGAGGGACAATGCATCTACGCACCCCAGTATACACTACTTTACACTGCTAATAACTGTCATGTTGTTATTATATTTGCAGAACCATTGACACTATTGCATAATTGTCTGACTCTTTGTCCCAGTGAGGAGGAGAAGATATAACCAGAAAAGACGACGTGATTCTACTGTGGAATTAGTATTTTACAGACACTGTGCATTCAGACGGAATACAGGTATTATGTCAGAAATTGCGACTGCACTTTATATTGCAGTTACGTGCACGGAATACTAAGTAAGAATACTACTTGTTCTAAATATAGCCCACAGGTTTGGTTATTCGATCTTGCTTTTTTTCGTAATGTCACTGTCATTTATTTTTTATAAATATGTTTTACAGCATTACATTCAAGGCACATGGGAATGTTTTCAAATTTTCATTTGTTACCGTCATAAGTCATCACATTATATCCATACCAACCTTATCTCTGGTTTCCCGTAACAAAGTACTAAATAAATGGAAACACGAGCACGGCGCTGCGAGGCAAGAACTTTTGAATTGGAGAATCTTTTCTTATAGATGTGGCGAAAGAGTCAAACTGCGTGATGTAATGTTTACAATATCAATATTTCATTATGCCCTACAGATCTTTGGTGCGTGGCCGCAATAAAATATCATCTGCATACAGTGAACGTATATGGTCGGTATAAGTTAGACGAATATCGCTGATTTTAGAATAATGCACTAAACTTCAGTAAGCTTTGTCTGTAGTCTTTTTAATCTATCTCTAATTTGGCTGGATTTATCTTTATCATTGGAATATAATCTTTAAATATAGAATTATTGATGGAAAGTACATCATTTGAATGAGAAATTGAAGAATTTGACTCCTTCATTTCTTTTGGTTTTTCTACAGAAATTCCACTTTTTCTGAATAAGGAATTAAATCAGCCACCGAGGGAGTAAATCTTTTCCAATTAAAATGGCTATACTTTATTATCCTCCAAAATCGACAAACAGTTTGCCAGTAACAAATTAACATTTCCGCCTTAGAATATTTGTATAACAAAATAATAATTAGGTATAATCGTATACAACCAACATGTCGCTGTAGTAGCACAGAATGAAAAAAATCAAAAGTCACATTTTAAAGTTTTCCGAAAGTTTATTTTCTTTTGGATTTATTTAAGCGTGTCCCTGATTGGCTACCCAATCCTAGCATCTGACAGTCAGACCAATCGAAGTGCAGCATGTTTGTTGACAGTAAATCAAATGACCAGGGTATCAGGGCTTAGATGTTTATACATTTAATCAATTGCGTTCACCAGCACATACAACATATTCTTGCAAAGCCCAGCAACACTCTTTTCATACATATATTTATTAATGCAAGGTAAAGTAATGCATGACAATTCCTTAGGAAATATGTAAAATGACCTCCACATCTCAGTCTAGCATTTGATCCTCTGTAATACTGCAACCTCGTCACATACATCTGTAGAACACTGTTAAACCCCACATATCATACATGTACAAAGTGTTTATAATAACAAACCAGAACGATATCAAAATTTATAGTCATCAAAAGGAATTCCAAAAACAGAACAAAAAACTGACAAGTACACCCCAGTATATAGTCACATCGGTGAGAAAAATGTATATCAAACTTATGGCATTCATAGAGCGATGAGGTCAGATTTCGGTGGGCAAATCCAGTTCCACACTTGGTATCTGTTGTATATCATTATGAGTCACAAGCAATTGGTTTCTGTTAAACTCTTAAAGACTAGACCAGAACAGTATCATTGATGGCATCTGAGATCATCTTTGTAAAAAGTTTCATCATATTTAACCACAAGCTTTTTATATCTGTCTAACAACTTTTGAATGATACTACCGCAAATAGGGGTATTTTTAAAATAAGTCGATTAGGAATTTGGTATTAATACTTGAAAAAAAAACGTTCAAGAAATTGATGTACAAGTAGGATTTTTTTTAAACTAGAAAACAATCGATAAGAAATACAAAATCAATCTCAAATTACATAAAAGGATAATGCTGTTCAATGAGATGTCCAATAAATACACATTTTTTAGGTTAAATAGGTCAATAAATATGTAAACAAATGAAGCATGAACACTATAAATAATATAAACAGCGCTATTATAACCATAAAGCATGTAAATTCTTGTTTAGGTATATTAAAGGCGAGCATATCTCGTATATTACATTGAAAGACAGTAGTGAATTTTTTTTTTCATTTGAAACAAGTACTGAAGAACCATATTTAAGCACTCTGTAAGACATATTAAAAAATCAATACTACTATAATACAGTACGTCATTTGGACACGCTGGCACATTACGGATATAGCATCGTGTAGCCTGTATTTGCGAACTAGATATGTTCAAGTGTAAAAGCTATTATATATATATATATATAATACGCTAATTACAGAATTTATTATTTATAAGTATACAGAATAGTGTGTGATTTTGAGTGATTTCAATATTAATATGAATCTAGTAATAAAATTCAAAAATTCGCATTAATTAATACAACCATACAATTCAAATAAATACAATTAAATAATTTAAAAAGATTATTTGTTTCACTACAATACTGGTACACTATTTACTTATTTACACTCTCGTGGAAAGTAGAAACAATACGTATATATGATATAGTGACGTATTTGTCTCGTCATTAAATCTAGATGTAGATTCGGTATTGTAATGAGGTTACTTTGTGTGACATGCACACTTGCCATATATTATGACGTAAATCCAATATAGAGAGTATTATAGTGTAGTGTAGTGTAGTGTAGTGTAGTGTAGTGTAGTGTAGTGTAGTGTAGTGTAGTGTAGTGTAGTGCAGTGCAGTGCAGTGTGGTGTAGCGCAGCACAGCGCAGCGTAGTGTAGTGTAGTGTAGCGCAGGGAAGTGTAGTGTAGTGTAGTGTAGTGTAGTGTAGTGTAGTGTAGTGCAGTGCAGTGCAGTGCAGTGCAGTGCAGTGCAGTGCAGTGTAGTGTAGTGTAGTGTAGTGTATTTGTGATATATATTATGCTATTCAGAAAATCGGCCTTCAACAAATTGTTCGTAAAGCATCCAATTGCTCTGTTCCAGCACAGCATTTAGCGGAATTAATTATAATTAAACGTTACTTTCTCCAGGTGTGAATATATCTCCTCTGTGAGCATTTCCATTTTTAAAGTTCATGCTCCAAGGGAGAGTCTCAACAATAGGACTCTGCCGTGAAGACAGTGTCGTTGCAGACGTTCGAAGTGTACTTGAGCTACGGTTCAGAGAGTTGCGGCTGTACAACGAGGTGCTCTTGCTTATCAGACTGGTGGAGCGATGACTGTAAAAATTCTGCATTCCGCTTTTTCGACAACAAGTTCGACTTGCCCAAATGAAGCACTCTCGGAATGTGCGCGAGACGAACGCATAGCATATAGGGTTCATACAGCTGTTCAGGTAGGAGAGAAGATTGAACGCGATGGAGAGATAGGTTTTCAGTGGGCTATATGATATGAAATTGAACTGCACGCACACCACTAGACATATGAGCGGACCCCAGCAGATCATGAATAACGATACCACAGCCAGGAGCATTACTATGACCTGTGTAGAAGATAATAAATAATATATACATAAATATATTATTAGATACCAATTATAAATATTGACCTTATATTTTATAACTAATAAAGTGGTAGGAATAAAGTTGTATTTTTCTGCTAATCAACATAATGTTTATCTCAGTATCTGTACTGTTGGTTATCGTGCAATACATATACTTATCTGACCTGTTTCCGCCCCTGTTCAGGGTCCACTCTAGGCCTGACATTCATGTTGCTACATTTCTTCAATTCTTCGTCCCCCAATTCACGAGTTCTTGACATGGATGTATGTGACACGTGGAATCCATTCATCGTTACACCGTTAGATACGTTACTTGTAGTTCTTCTCGGCAATGTGCATCCGTATCTGTTCTGCAGCTGTTGCGTTCGCTTCGTACTGATCCACAGTTCGTGAATGATTCTGGCGTAGCAGTACGTCATGACCAGCAAGGGCATGATATACATGCCGAGAAGAAGGTAAAGAGAGAATGCCTTTGCCCAAGCGTCATTTGGCCAGTAGACCACGCAAGTTTGGAATTCATCATAATTGTCGAATTTCCAAGTTCTTTCTTTCTATTGAAATGAATTTAATTAGATAAAATTAAATTTGAATTAATATACATTTATTATATTGTAAAAAAGAGGGCGAAGGAATCCAATTTTGTGTTTTATATATGAACCTCAAAACATACAGGCAAGAAATGGTTGGAACATATATCAATATATGTGATGGCCCCGTCGACTCAGACGCGCACTGAAGGTAAATCACAATTCGTCCATGTGAAGGCACGTGTTAATACGTTGATGATTATGCAAACAGGTGACGCGCATCACGTAATTAACGTGTGTAGTTACGTCATATTCTGCCCATGCGCAATAAGAGCTTTAGGATTCAGAATAAATCGATTAAACTTCCATCTTGGATCTGATTATTCTTTGAGTATTTCAACCGCGATAACGTCTTTTGATTTCAAACTGAGCGAATTTTAGACTATTCCGGATCATAACTTTTCAGTCGTGACTTCTGATTTGCCGGATATTGTGTGTTATAAAAAAAGTCAACAATTGATGTATTTCTGTATATCGTTTTTCTGTCACCACATTTGAAGCTTTGAATACCCAGACAATTGAAGCGTACTGTGATTTTTCTCTGTGGTTTTAAATTAAAGCGGGGGAGACGTCACCTGCGCATGCGACAAACATCCACAGCGTGTCGGTGTTTACAAACAAGCGTCTACCCATGAGCCTTTATGTGTTTATCGAGCGTTGTTGTCGTCGTTGTGACCAATTCGCGCGCGTGTGCCGGTGAAGACTCCTTCACAATATTGTTTGAATATCGTAGTAAGGAAACTATCTACAGTCATTTTTTTTATCTGCCTAGTAAATAATATTTTCTGGAAAAACATCGCCGATAAATGATTATACTAATATTTTTCTGGGTTAAGGTTTTCATTGCAATTGATACCTTGGTGTTTACATAGTGGTGACCTTATAACACGGATCTGTAGTTTGATTGAGATGTAGCTAGAATTTCTACCAAATAATTACACGATGGTTTTCAATAATAAACCGCAGAATAATAAAATATTGTTGGAATTCATTCAAATTAGCTCGTTGTATTTTTTTCAATAACGCCGACATACTCATTGCGGTTTCCTTAACTTCGTGTAAATGGAGAGAAATTCCTTTATATCACAATGTCGATGGCGCTCATATGTATTGTAATTATAACCGTTATTACGCTACTGAATGTGGAGTAATACTGTAGTCATGGAGCAGTAAATTATCGGCCAAAATATCCACCGTAACTTTCGGGATTTTATTTGAGGCGCTGCACTGTCTCGCAAAAGTGTGCACCGCGTGGTCTTGCTTGCGTTACTGGTTCTAATAAAATTATATATGGAGGGAATATTTCATTTTATTCTGAGTGGTTTCAGTAGTTATTTAGGCATGCATGTATGGATGTTCTCAAGTTTCTTTTTTGTTAGTGCCGACCCACCGCAATTACGATGAATAACGCAGTAAGAGAATGACTGAGGTCAAACTCACGATTGTTGTTGTTGATTACGGATGACGCACTGTATATACAATATGACAATTGAGTGATAATAAAACCCACTTTTTCTGCACTTTCCAACACCTAGTCATGCTATAGATATAATATTCATATCTGTCAGAACAGCTTGTTCGTGATTCCTGTCATTTTGTGTTACGGGGTCAATAACCTTTTCAAACTGGCGTTTTGTATATTGTCTCTTAACATTACTTGTCATGGGAATATACCATAATGACTTACTTATTTGTTGACGTCATCAGCGTAATAGTAAGTGACTATTAACGGGCGCACGGCCCCAGCGTATGTCAAATAGTATTGTGTGTATAACATACCACTTTGTAGCCTATATAATGGAAGCCGACAAGTGAAATAAGCATTCAAAGCCCCTTTCGTCAACTACTCTCACCTTATAATACAACGGCGGAAAACTGTATATAACTGCTGAGACCCACACTGAGATGATGATTCGACGTGCTCGACCCAAGGTAATAACAGACTTAGCCAGCAGCGGGTGCACAATAACGAAATATCTAAATGAAAATTAGAAGAAATAGTATCTGATTAATGTGTATCTCAGTATATTATGTGGAGGAATTTCCACGAGAAAGGGGCACACGTAGAAGCTTTCAATCAACGTGACATATTTCAATTGACGTAATCGCGTGATATTGATGATGAACAAAACTGCCGCACTTATATACACAAGAGTCTGCAAGGCTAATACCACTTATCAGACAAGTCTCAAAGATACCTTCGTTTAGTAACAACTAGAAGTATACATTGTAAAGTGAAGTACACTGTTATTAGTAATATATATTGCGAGTCGATTTTAAATATTATGATTTCGACTGACTTTACAAAAAATATCAACTGTTTAACTTTATTTGTTTTTGTTCACGATCGGTTGTTGGGATTTCTGCATACCCCCATTCCGATTTAACTACTTATTAGAATTATCAACATCTCTTGAAATTGACAAGGGACTACTTATTGACAACACGTCAGTTATTGTCACGTTGCTATGGTAACTAAGTGTTACGTCGCGTTCTTTGATATTTTAATTGATTCCAAAAGAAGCTTTCTCAGCTGTCGAACGTTTCAAAATGTCCTGGATGGTACAAAATGTATATAGCTGCTTTTGCACGTGGTTCCGCGTGATGTAATACCCAATAAGAACATGCTAACTACAATCAACTGACCCGTTTATTGCAATCGTAAATGTAGCAACAGCGGAAAAGCAAAATCAAATCACTGCCTCTATTGAAAGCTTGGATAAATGGACAACGACATTATGTTTGTGTATGGTACTATTATTTATAAATTGAATATTATTTAAAGTTTTGTTTCAAATTTTCAAAATGTCTACTGATTAAAACCCAACACAACAATAATCGACAACAATAATACTTAAATTACCAAAATAAAAATCTTGAGATCACACGAATCAAACTTGTTTTCATTAGCCTAGAAGTTTCTGTAACGTCACAATGACGTGAATGGGCGTAATAAATGTACGTCGTGGTTGGTTGTAGTCGGTCGTTAATTGGTATATAGTAAATCTTTAAAAAACTGTCATTTGTCAAAACAACTTTGGCGGTGAATGACGTTTTTTTTACGCCAATGCACTTCATATATTGGAAGGATGCGTTGTATTGCTGTTTCAAGGTCTCTCATAAACAACAAGTCGTATTGTTACTCATATATAAGAGTAATAGTGATATACTAGTATAACAATTTAAAATAAATTGAACGTAAAGTTAAACGAGTATTTTGTAAACCACCATATAAAATTTATAATCCTGACTGCATTTTTGCTTCCTTATATATATTTTTGAAAGTTCGTTATAACTATTCCCACCAAAAGTCGGTAAATTAACTAATATTTTTTTAAAAACAACTTAAAAAATTTCCTAGTTATGAATAAAGAAACATATCTTTCCCACTATATTAAAATGTAGGTATATCTCAAATCAATCCAAAATGGCCACCATATCTATTAAAAAAATGTATTGACTTGCAAATAATGCCACTGTTTTGTTACTTTAATGTCGTTGCCTGATTGGATGAATGTACAATTTCGAACAGCTCATGTTTGATTTCAAGTAGGTACTTTAAATCCATTGCACGTACAACGTCACTCACCAAATAACAAGCTGCCGTAGGTGACTTGTATCCTCGGTTATTCATATTTACAGTTATATGATATAACATAACAGGACGTAATAAACTTTCCAAGGAATCAGTAAAGACACTCGCGTGATTGTATATTGATTTTTTTATCTTTATTGAGAACAGTGACGTCGCAGTATACGTACACATGTACTGAAGTTGACTGTTGACTGCATCGTCTCATCAGAGATGCGAAGAAAGCTGTAAATCACGAACTGTCCACTCTGGATTGAATCGAGTTTCGACGATGTTTACTAAATATATAGACAACCGCCCGTGTCAGAGAATAAAGCGGCACGCTTAAATTCATATTGCTGTGAAATGTAAGTTATGGCAACGTTGATAATTATTGTAATGCGTAGGCGTCCCAGGATCCAAACTCTAACAGGTTCGATTTGAACACGACCCCGGCGTAGCGGGTAAAGACCGCCACACACACACATAGCCTTCGGCGATTAAGTTTTTTATGCCGTGTTACTGTTCATTTGTCATATTAATGGCACTGTTTAACCACCCCCGCGAGGGGACTGATCACGCAGTTATTTCTGACATTTCACCAAGAGTATTAAACAGTTCTGATACGACTGGAATTGAATACCTAATATACTTTCGATCTTTTTTTTGCTTGTTAGGCTCTAGTTGAATGATGAGTATCATATCCACAGTGTCTAAATTGAAATGAAAGTAATGTTATACTTATTTTAAATAGTTCTCATTACGTTCGGTACAAGATAAAGTAACATCATAAGAAGTAAGTGCATATAATAACATATAATATTTGTGCAAGGCATTTGTGACAAAGACGTGAACAAAATGTTCTGCAGTTACTGTTAAATGTCGTTGCCAATCAGCGTTAATTCAGACACTACATGCCACCAATCAAAAACTCACTGATTTAATGTAATTTAACTCAGTATGATATAAACTCGTGATGTAAACTAGAATCTATATCGCATACATGTCACACAAAAGTATGATAACATCTACAACGCATGATCTGATTGGACAATATTTGAAAGTTGGCGCCTTTATATTACTCTGTGATAGCTTGAATGATGCCACTTGAGCAGGCAAATTAATTTATTAACTACTGCATTTTATTTTTAGAGCGTGAGTGCTAAGTAAACAAAAGCAAACGACATGCAAAGATATATTTCAGGAATCAAGTACAAATAAAAAAAAAAAAAACTAGATTGCGCGTCAGATGACATGACAGTGATATTGTATTTTATTTGCGATTAATACATGTGGTAACACATTCAGGGCATCGACCCCTCAAAAACAGTTATAACAACTCTCAGACTCAAATCAACGATTCTTGCCTGTTGGAACGATTGACATAGATAATACGGCATTGATTCAACCAATCAAATGAGCCGTATTGTATTTATAGTTATAAAATATTATACATCATATGGCGCTAGGCCATGTGCGTGAGTTTGCATCTTGTGTTGCGTGTTGTTATGTTCGTCTGTCTGTCTGTAATACAAACAATGAAATCCACAATTTAATGATTACAGTTTCAAGGTGGCGTAGTCTTGTAGCGACGAGTTGTAGTACTATTATAATAGGACGGAATACCCACAAATACGTTTCATCGAACGCTCTTATATAGTGATTGAAAGGAACTCAAGATGTTGCGTTACTCGTCTGACGATTTCCGGTCTACGGTTTAAAGAAGCCAGACGTAAACTGATCACTCTTTTCGTCAAACCACGAAATGAAGGCAAAACTGCAAAAATGAAGAACGACAAGCTCGTAATTGACAATGCAACATATATACGACCATGAAACTGATCAAATCCTTTCATGAAATTGACATAGATGTTGATTACGCTAAGGTGGTCAAAAGAATGTTACTAATAATGTAAATATCAGCCTTTTTAACATTGATCTCAACTTTTCTATAAATGATAACAATGAAAATTTTCGACTGTTGTGCGGGAATGTGAAACGTTTGAAAATTAAAATGGAAAGTCCTGATTTTTGTAAATATCTCTCGAATTTCAATCGAATTCGTTTTACTGAAACGAGAGAGTATCTTTTCTTATGCCGAGTATGACTGTGTAAACCGTATTCACAAGAAAAGGAGTCACTATGGTAGACCATCTGTGGGTTTATCAGTTTTCTACAAAACTGATTTATTTTCTAATGTTAATACACTTTTATGCAATTCAAATAAATTGCGATGTGGGTTGAATTAAATACAAAGAACAATTGCAGGGTTATTCTGGACACAATCTACGTCCTTCGCGAAGGAGCGGCGCCTTACTCTGTCTACACAATATTTGTTTTTAAAGGAAACAAATTAGTAGATAGCATGAGTGAATAACAACTCAGTAAGATTATTATTATACGAGACTATTTCAATAACTTAGATTATATAGATAATGAAAATGTATCTTCTGTCGCAGCGTATGACATTACCCGTGTCTCACAAGACCACGTGTCTAGTTCTTACGGTAATTTATCATACGGCGGGTATGATAGTGGTAGTGGATGTTCCACATTAGCCACGTGCCCTGTTACTAAAATGGCATACCGGGCAAATCACGCAACGTAGCGTGATCAACAGAGTAAAAGCTTTGTTAGAGTTTTTGAACGTCGTTCTTTTGAACAGTTATTTGAACAGTAACAATACCGATGTTAATAATGCTTCGGCTAATGTAATGTCAATTTTGTTTTCAGCAGCTCAAATCATGGAAAGTACTATATCCAAACATCATGACAAACAGATTGGCTGGTATGAAACGGAATGTAATCCGAAAAAATCCCGTGTTACGTGTTACACGTTACATTAAATTTATTCAGAAATACAAAATCATTAGTTTATCTTATTGATTACAAAAAGCTGAATAAATCTAATAAATCTAACCCTAAGATTAAAAAAAAAAATAATGACGCGGAACTTATCAGCCACCGGCCTTGAAACTCGCACCTAGATCACCAATAAACACTGAAAACAATTAAAAAACATAATAACGCTCTCGTACATCACATAAATATTGAAAATAAACATTGATACATAGATTTCAGTAGTTTAAAAATATTATATTTTGAATCAAAGTCTTTTCAAAGTCTACGAATACGCGATAAAACCAACCATTCGATGATATGTAATAATTAGTGAGAGTGTATGGGAAGGTTATCTGGAGTACTTCATGCATTGCTTAATTTTCGTGGCTTATTATTCTATGGATTTCTATTGATTTCTTTCAATCTTGGAAAAAGCTTCCAGCAGATGGAAACACAACATATCATCAGATTTTCTGTAACTGTAAAACACATGTACAGTTTTGCATTAATGACGTAACTGACTTACACTTTCAATTGCTATGATGGATGCGCCCTTGAAATATTA